CTCTCTCACGCTGCCCACCCAGCTCGGGCTCTGTCAGGGAGAGGAAAGGCTGCCGTGAGCCTCCGCCTGGCTGTGCCCGGGACTCAGCTTTAGAGGGGATGAGGAGTGTGGTGGTGGTGGTCACCCGCCCTCAGCCCCAGCCCTGGCCCCGGGCCCTCAGGCCTGCTCTCTGCAAGACATAGCTCCTTGCAGTCACCAGGCAGCTCCAAGGCCTGGTGGCTCGTTTTGTCCCTGATCCTTTGATCCTGAGTCCATATCATCCCCGGAGTCAGAGGGGACTGCCCTTGGTACCTACTGTGAGATCCTCAAAGATTCACCTGTGTCTACAGCGTGGCCTCTGCCCTCCCATCCTAGAGAGGAGGAGGCCAAGGCTGACAGCAGCTTTGGTCCAGGAAATATGACTGTCGTGTGTTGTGTCCCGGACTGGACCTCATTCCTGTGGAGTCCACAAAGCCTTCCTGCGCACCCGGGTTCTTCGAGCTGGCTGCCTGGCTGAGTCTCTGGTCCCCACCTTTGCAGGGCCGTGGGTGTGGATTTGCATAAGGCTCCTTAGATGGGTCTCTGGTAGCTGTGAGTTCCTTGGCCAAGCCCCATCCTCCTTGGTCATAGGGACAATGAGCGCTCAGCATGGCAATGAGTTGCCTGTTACCCAGGCGCTGGGACCTCTCTCCCAGAGGGCGCTGCTACCCCTGAGCCATGGCTGAGAGGTGAGGGGCTGTAACAGAGGGGCTGGTGACACACAGCGTTGCTCGGTCACGGGCTCTGCCCACCCCGCTCCAGGATGAGTTGGACACAGCTACTGAGGAGACCGTGAGAGCCGCAAGACGTGACCGTGCCACAGGAAGTTGTATCACCCTCCTCAGAAAGGAGCTTCCCTTCCCTTCTCCTCAGCACCCCCCCTCCCCCCAGCGAGTGGGGCAGCCCTGCGCTTCTCTTGGTCCCCTTCCTCTCCCCTCCCACACGTGCTCAGTGTTCCTGAGCCAGACTGTGAAACCCTGTGCCACATTCTCACCCTCACCCCATTTCATATCTCCACCTACACTTGGGGAAACTGAGGCATGAGACTTCAGTGTCAGTCCCGGATGGAAAGATGGGATGGCATGTGACCACAGTGTGATGTCCCCTGTGCTGCTCCTCCTGTCTCCCCCAACAGAGTGACAGGGCCTGGATGTCGGCCTGGAACCGTGTCCATGTCACAGCGGTGCGTTTTGAAGGATGGGTACCTGGATACTTGGTGCTCAGAGATGAGCAGAGCATACGCGTTACCCTGGAGCCCACCGCGGCCTGGCCAGGGGCCAGATCCAGTGTTCCCAGGAGCGGGGCGGGGAGGTGGTGGTGGAGGGCTTGGTCCACGCTTGGAAGCCACTGCCACTGTAGAGCTCTACACGTCCCCGATGTCCAGGTCTCCATTCCCGCCTGGTCACAGCCATTCCTGCCATATCCTCCTGCTCCTCTGCACACCCGTGGGATCACAGACGCTGTCTTCGATGTGTGTGTGTGTGTGTGTATGTGCACGCACGCGTGCTCTTTGGCATCTTTTTTTTTTTTTGGTACCGGGGATGGAACTCAGGACCTCACATTGCCAGGCATGCATGGTGCCACTGAGCTACACTCCTGGCCTAGCATCCATTCTTAAAGTCCAAATGTATTTGCTCCAGAGGCCAATTTCTTTCTTCACTTTTTTATGTCCTGGCATCAGTGGGCTCCCTGCTCATAGTCAGCTGATCTTAAAATTTCTGAGTCCTTGGTCAGCTTCTCCCAGGAAAGCTGCTGGTATTCTGAGTAAAAGTGCTGTCAGTCCACGCCTCTGTCATAGTCACTTTCTCCTTGCTGGGACAAAATACCTAGCGCCCTCACGTTAGAGGAAAGGTTTATTTTGGCTCATAGTTTGTACCGGTTCCAGAGTCAGCTGGCTCCAAGGCAGGGCGGCACGGCACAGAGCCACGGCAGAGCAGAAGCAGCTCATGGCATGGAGACAGGGGGCACAGAGAGATCAACCAGAGATAAACCCCGCCAGGCCACTCCCTCCATGGTCTCCCTCTGACCAGGCTTCACCTCCCAACGTCACATTTAGTTGTAAATGTATCGGTGGACGAATCCGCGGATAAGAATCGTGCCACCATGATCCGGTCACCCCAAGTCCCCGCTTGTGGGGGTGTGATGCGTGCAGGGACATCCACATATAACCCTGACGGGGCCCATCTGGACAGAACTGAGCCTCTACGCTGAGCCTCGCGCTCCGCAGTGCCGTGCCCTCCCCCCGATTTCCAGCTCTGATTTCTCTGGGGACCAGGACAGGACAGGTCTTGCTCCTCCTTTCAGAATTCCCTCCCCTGGGTGTTAAGAGACCTCAGCCACTTGGCCCCCATTTGTGTGTCCTACTGGCCATTTTTTGTCACCCCATCTTTGGAATATCCTCTGTCTCGGGGAATGCCACCTGCCCCACCACGTTGTTCAAGCTGGAAAAGCGGAGATGACCTTGAGACCATCCTCATCCTCTCCCCACGGCCCGGAAGAGCTCTGCTTCTACAACATACTTCGGATCCCCCCGCTCCTTTGCTCTGTAGTCCACCGTCCTAGACAAACGCATCACCATCTCCCACCATCCTGCAGGAGCTTCCTGAGCTTTTCAGGTGTCTCCCAGCCCCTTCCCACCCCAATGAACGCCCCCCGCTGCCCGGGAGCCCTGCGGTCCTTTGATAATGGGGCTCTGCTTGTTGTACTGAGCCGCAGGGGTGTTCAGTTTGGATGCTCCTTCTCTTCCAGAAGAGCTGTCTATCTTCTCTTTTTCCTGCCCCTTCCCCAACAAATTGTCTTCTTTGAATTAAAAAAAATACAAACAACACCAAGGCTGACAGTGGTCTGTGATGAAATCCCCACCCCGTCCATAGCCCGCCCATCCTCACATCCCCGCATCCCTCCGCTTCCCTCCCCTCCTTCACGCAGACCTTCCTCAGACCCTTGCAGTGCAGACTCTCTCCAGCCCTGGGCCCCTGCACAGCCCTGTCCCTGCCGCAACGCTGTCCTCACTGTCTCTGCCTGGACTCGCCCCCCTCATCCCAGGCCTGTGTGGGATTCCACCTGCTCAGCATCGGTCCTTCCCTGTGCCTCCACACCTTTTCTGGTTAACATTTCTCGGGCTGTTTGTCTTTTTTGTCACCTTTCCCTTCTAGCACAGAATGTAAAGGGCCTGACGTGCTCAGCTTTGTAGTCCCAGCAACGTGTACTGTACAGGAAGCCAGCAATTCTTTCTGAAGGGATGAAACGAGGGAATGAAAGGAGGAGTGCAACCATGGAAAGGAGGAGGAGATGCGGAAGGAGGTGGGAAGGAGGCGGGCAGGTCCCAGAGGGGAGACAATGGGTACCTCGTACCTTCCCTCTGAGCGCCCGTGTGCATGGCACCCTTCCTGGCCCTTCTCCACGGACACAGGACAGATGGTGGCCTCTTCCTGCCCCCATCCCCTGCCTTCTTCTCCTCTCTGGCTGCTAAGTCCTAGGGGGCTTGGGGACTCCCAGTCTTGTTGGTCTCAAATCAGAGGTGAGCCGGATTTCACACCAGCCTGCACTGCTGCATCCTGGGCATTGGCTCTGCCTGCAGAGTGCCCTGGGCAGAGGGAAAGGGAGGCTGTGCTGGTGGCTGAGCAGGGCCAAGGTTGCCAGGTGCCTACAGCCTTCCTCCTGCTGCCATTCCTTTGCCATGGTCCTTGTGCCTCCTGTGACTCAGAAGGCCAGGCCTCTGTGGCTTCATCCCTGACCTCCAGGCCTTCCAGATGGAGGCAGCTGCTTAACTGAGGGAAAAGCTCAATCAACACGCGGGCCTTTTGCTTTTTTTTTTTTTTTTGGTCTTTTTGAGACAGGGTCTTGCTATGCAGTTCAGGCTGGCCTTGAACTCACTTTGTAACTCAGGCTGTCCTTGAACTCACAAGGATCCTCCTGCCTCAGCCTCCTGAGTGCTGGGATTCCAGGCATGCACCACCACGCCCAGCTCCCGTTCACTTTTAAGTGATTTTAAGCATCACCGATTTTAGAAGTCACACATCTGAGCAATACATTGCACATCTTCCGGTGTCTGTCCTGTGGATGATGCGTCTGACTGAAGCTGTCTGTGGGTAAAAACCACTGTCTGCTGAAAGTTGCCTTTTACTTTTTTGCCACAAATCCCTAGTGAAAGATTTCTGTGCTACCTCCATGATTAACTAAGTAACTAAAAAACAGGTGGAGGCCTGCACCGCGTGGGAACCTGGGTGAAGCAGTGAGACCTGGGTCCTGGGAGACCCTCCAGAAGGAGAGGTCTGGTTCAAATCCTGGCTCAGCTACTTACTAGCTGCTACCTGGCCTGAGGAAAGCACCTTCATCACCTGCCCTTTCACCCATGCCTCAGCAGGACGCACCATCTTGCTTGGGTGCTGGGCATGCTTCAGTGAGCGGTGTGTATGACGCAGTCGCAATGCATGGTAGTTATCATGGTGAGGGGAGATTATGATCAGACTTGGGAGCAGCCTGGGTCCTAAGCTGCTTACTGGTGTTCGAGGATGTGTTCCCTGGCCCGAGGCCATCACTGACCAACCAGGAATGGAGGAGGGGTCTTGGTGTGAGTTGTCTATTAGAGTCCATTTTAGGGCAAGGAGGGTTAAGGGGAAGGTGGCATCAGTTTTCTCCTTACACATATACTGGGGAATCTGGGTCATTTTCTTTTTGTGGGCAACAGCTAGCAAGTTGAGTAAAGAAGTGGACTACATGGTGGTTGTCTCTCTCGGTCCCTTTAGGCCTTTACACTTTCTGACTTCTGAGTTGTCTGTGTGTGGCCTGGAATTTGATGGGAGGCAGAGCTCCCTGGAAGATCTTCACTCAGTCCACTCATGAGGTCTTCAGGACAGAGCCCAGGTCTCTCCCTGGTTGTCTTAGCTACTTTTCTTGATGCTGAGACAAAATACCCAATGGCCAAAGTTAAAGGGGGAAAGGTTTATTTAGCTCACTTTGTGGAGGGTTCAGTCCATCGGCTGGCTCCAAGGCAGAGTGGCACATGGCACAGGGGCAAAAATTCATGGTGGTGGAAGACAGCAAAAGCAACAAGCAAGAGCGAGATCCAGAAAGACAGACCTCTTTCTGTCCCTTACATTGTATGCAGGCTACCTGCCCTAGGGCAGGTGCTGCACTCACACCCATAGTCTCAGCTCTGGACCATGAATCAGTTACAAACTCTAAATCCAGCTGCCTTTGAAAAACCCATCCCCCATGACTGCATGAGACTTTCGGGGGGACATCCAGACATGAACCATACCACCTGAGTTCTCCTGGGGAGGGTGGCAGGGAGGTGCTCCTGGTGAGGCCGTGCTGGAGAAGGTGAGGGAGGCAGATAGGATGCTCCCTCTAATCTGGGTTCTGTAAGGAAACTTCTGAGGAAGTTTTCTAAACCATTGCCTCTCACGCATCAAGTGCCCTTGGAGGACCAGCACTGACCTGTGGACTTGGGCTTTAGTGAGCCAACCTGTAGGAGGACAACAGTGTGTCAGTATGACATCCATGGAGCATCTCCATCCTGCCTTCTCTGCTGTGTCCTACACTCAGACAGTCCTCAGAGGGAATGGGATGTCAGAAAAGTTCAGCACACATCACTCATGGAAGGGACCTGGGCCTCCCCAGACCCCCAAGGCCAGCCCACATCTGTCCCATTGACCTCAATGGAAATCCTAAGACAACCTCTGTGCATCTATTCCCCCCATGCCTGTCCTCTGTCCCTTTGCTTCCATCTCCCTCCTTGAATTCCATACTCAGCCCCACCTGTCCTCCTACTCTCTTGAGTCACCCCACTTCCCTCCCTTTCCCCTCATGGAGGCAGCTGCTGGCTCTTCCTCCTGAGAGCTGCCTGTTTCTGCCCTGGAAGATTCAGCCTCTTGGTTGGTACCTTGTTCAGCCTCGGATTGTGATGCATTCAGTTCTCTTCTTCCTTCCTCCCTGTTGAGTGGTGTTGGCACCCTCCTCCAAGATCCCTGAATTGGGATTTTAGGGTGCACTTCTGGGCTCCCTCTAATCTGTTCCATTTGTCAACTTCCTGTCTTTGTTCCACCATTTGCTGTTTTAATTTTAGTAGCTTTGTGTTATGTTTTAATTTAGGAAGTCTGAGTCTTCCACATTTTGCTTTGTGGGTTTTTTTTTTTTTTCAAATTGCTTCTTCATTCTGGATCAATTGTTCATTTTGACAGTGTCATAGGGACTTTGATAGAGATGACAGTACATTAAAGCTGTGGATTATTTGGGGGAGATTTAACATCTTGATATATTAGTTTATCCAACTCAAGTATATGAGGTATCTTTGCATTTATCTGTGTGTTCTTCAATTTTTTTTGCAATGTTTTCTACTTTGTTTCACTGTACAATACTTTCACCTCCTTGGTTAGGCTTCTTCCAAGTAATTTTTTTTGTTTTATGTTCTCATTCCTTTATGAATAGAACTGATATCTTAAATTTCTTTTTGCATTTCTCATTGTTAGTTTAGAGAAATGATTTTCTGTCTTGGATGGCTGCTGAGTTCATTCACCATTTCTCATTTTTTTGTGTGTATGGAATGTACAGCTTTTTAAAAAGCCTACTCAGAACAATCTATGGGAAAATGTAATTTTCTTCTTCTTTTTATTTTATTTCTGCCTTTATTTCTTTTTCTTGACTAATTGCTCTCACTTGACTTTCAATACTTCCTCTCCCTCATCAGGAAAGAGGAAGAAGAGAACTGAGTGTGTCTCAATCCGAGGCTGAACAAGGTACCAACTGAGAGGCTGAATCTTCCAGGGCAGACACAGGCAGCTCTCAGGGGGAAGAGCCAGCAGCTGCCTCTGTGAGGGGAAAGGGAGGAAAGTGGGGTGACTCCCAGGGCAGGAGGACAGGCGGAGGGGTGAGTATGAAATTCAAGGAGGGAGATGGAAGCAAAGGGACAGAGGACAGGCATGGAGGGAATGCACACACAGAGGCTGTCTTAGGATTTCCACTGAGGACAATAGGACAGTATTGAGTGTGGTCAAACTTGCGGCCCACTCTGAGAGTCAAAGCTCTCTGTCTTTCACCACTGAGTGATTCTAGCTGTGGCTTTTCCTAAGTGGCCTTTGTTATATCGAGGGTGTTTCTCTCTGTGCCTGGATCACTGAGTGTTTTTCTTAGGAAAGGTTGTGGAAGGCTGTACAGCTCTTTCCTGCACAACTGCGATGATCATGTGTTTCTGCCCCTCTGTGTGTGACTGAGATGTGTTACAGTGGCGAATTCCCCCTCCCCCCCCCAAGGAGCCTGCTTACTGGAGATTCCCAAGCAGACACCTCAGACCCTGACTGCCTGGCTTTGAGGGGAGCCAGCCTGCATCTCCTCTTTAAAGAAGCACGTTTGTGATTCTGACGCGGGTGCCTTCTGAGAAACACCATGTGGAAATCTTGACGAGCCCAGGGCCTGGACTACTCACCGCCCCTTACACCTGAGGAAGATCATCAGTGCCACAAGCGGGGTTAGGAGCACCGCGGTGGCCACCGCCACCCCAATGATAGCTCCCAAATCCGGGGGCCGCGATTGCAAAGTCCTCTTGCCCTCTGTGACCTGCAGTCCAGCTGTGGTGGCTTCGGAGGTTGTGATGCTGGGAGTTCTTGTTGTGATCTTGGCAGCTGGGGAGAGATGAGAAATAATCAGAGCCTTCCACAAACAGATGGGGTTTCTGGGTGGAAGTGTCACATCTTGTTCCCTCGTTTAGGAGACTGTGGGCGAGGACCGGCTCTCAGAATTTCATACAGACAGGGAGTAAGAAGGAGAAAGGCTTAGCGTGCAGAGCGCCCAGTTTACCTCCTGATTCTCCACCACTTCTCAGTGCAGTTCCTCAGACACTCGCTACATCCCGTAGTAACAGGAGTGAGGAAATCACAGGATTAAAAAGCTATAATTTCTGTAAACATATATAACAGTCAATACGTCCATTTCAGCTCTCTAGAGAGGTACAGTTCAGTGACACTAGGGTCGTTCACTTGGGTGGACGGCTATCATAACCAACTGGAGAACTTTTGCAGCTTCCTAGGTAGAAACTATGTAGTTAAACAACTCCCTGTTCTCCCTTCCCCCAGGCTCTGCGACCGCCATTTGATTTTCCATCTCCATCGATTTGACTACGGTCAGGACCTCCCACAAGTGGGAATTATATAGCGTATGTTCGTGTACAGAATTGTTTGGATGCAGCCAGGAGCTGCATATCAACATTTTGTTCAGGGACAGCCTCAATATCTGATAGCGGTCTCATAGATCTCTGTCACCTCCTGGTGTCTTAACTGTCTCAGTTTGTGGAAGGAGTCTGTATGGGATCCACAGAGCGCTAATCATCTAACCTTGTCTTTCTCAGACCGTAACAACCTCAGTAAGGAGCACGTGACTGTGAGAATAAAATTCTATGAAACGCATAATAGACAGTGGTAGTATGTCTTTAAGATCCAATTGATATATATTGATTTTCAGGTCCTATAAACAGATTGTACCTTTTTTGTGGAATTGATATGGTACCAGGTCATAGGAAAATCAATTTCCATTCAAAATCTTCAGGTGACTGTGAACCAAATTCTTTGTCTATGCATATTAGAAAATTTTAAATGATACATGTATATTTCCATCACACAATACCTCATAAATATGTTCAATTAAAAATAAAATAAAACCCAAAAAAGAAAATATGCTCTTACCATATTTCAACTGAGAGCTAAATTCTTAAATTACTTAGTCAAAGAAAATAATATACAGTAACATAGTAATTAGAAAATAAAAATGAAAAAATGAAAAGCATACTAATACACACTTTTTCAAGCCCTGGAATATGATGAACATGGGACTCTAAATTCATAGTACGGGGCTGGGGATTTAGCTCAGCGGCAAAAGCGCCTGCCTGGCAAGCGCAAGGTCGTGAGTTCGGTTCCCGGTACCGGAGAAAAACCAAAAAAAAAAAACAACAACAACAAAAAAATTCATAGTACTAAACATTTTCCTTACTTCAAACTGGGAGAAATACTTTTTTTTTTTTTTTTTTTTTGGGTCTTTTTTTTGAGACAGGGTCTTGCTATGCAGTTCAGGCTGGCCTTGAGCTCACTTTGTAGCCCAGGCTGATCTCGAACTCACAAGGATCCTCCTGCCTCAGCCTCCTGAGTGCTGGGATTACAGACATGTGCCACCATGCCCAGCCTTATTTATTTTTTTTGGGGGGGGGAATACTTTAAATGAATGAAATATTCAGTTTCAAAGAAAAAGTACTAAAAGCAGAGAGGAACCAGAACTAAGGAAGCTCAGAGGCAGAATGTAATGAAATCTGTGGAGGAATCAATTATTGAGACAGAGACAGTGATAAAAATGTTGGAACTCAATATTTAGATAGAAAGGAAAAAGAAAACAAAGATCAGCATCTCTTACAATAAAATTTCAGCTGAACTCAGAGGCAAATGGCTACTCAATTACAGACTAGTAACTTATGCATAAAAACCTCTGTAAAATGGATGATTCTTGGAAACAAAATTTTGAAAATTGACAAAGAAATAACAAATATTCCTTTTTTAAGTAAACATTTGGTAGTGGTGGTGGTGGTGGTGGAACCCAGGGCCTGGTGTGCTAAACCAGGGCTTTACCACTGAGCTGCACCCACAGACCAAGAAAGAGTAAATTTGTTTCTTTTTTTTTTTTTGAACCAGGAATCAAACTCAGGACCTCACGCTTGCAAGGCAGGCACCTTGCTGCTGAGCTATATTCCTGGTCCAGAAAGAGTAAATTTGAACTGATTTTCAGGCAGAGAAGAAATTGAGAATGTCACCAAGGAAGTATCTTTCATAAAGATTCCAAGTTTGTGGAGTTCTATGTGTAAATTCTTTAAAAAATTTAAGGGACAGGTAACAGCCAGATAGAAATGTCCAAAGCATAGGTAAAAATGGAAAATATGGCAACTGTAATTCATTTATGAAGGCATACCATGCCCCTGATGCTAAGATCCCAGAACAATTTTTGAAAAGTGCAGACTATGCGGAGATATAGCTCAGCGGCGCAAGTACCTGCCTGTCAAGCGCAAAGTCCTGAGTTTGGTTCTCCATACCCCCCACAAAACCAAACAAACAAAGAAAAATGCAGACTAAAAAAGATGCCTTTTTTTTTTTTTCTTAAACTGGTCTGAGTTGAGGAAAATCCACAGTGTTGACAACGGTTTATGGAAGGAAGATCTCTCATCCACAAAGTAGGAATATAAGTTGGTATACCTTTTGGGAATGCAATTTGAGAACATGTAGAAAAATGTGGAGGTTCTATCCGTGTCCTTTGACCCAGTAGTGTTTGGGCTGGGAATTTCTCCTGTGGATATGCTCACTCATGTTCCAGAGGCCTATGTTTAGGGGGATCCTTTGTAGCATTGTTTGGAATAGGCATTCTCTTCATCTTACTCAATTGTTCAGCTTTTTTTTCCTTTGGAGACAGGTTCTGACTGCACTGTCCAGGGCAGTCTCCATCTCCTGGGCTACAGCAATGGTTCTGCTCAGTGCTCAATGGGCTGTGACTCCAGGTGGTGCCATCAAGCCCCACTGTCCAGCATTTGCTACTTGCCCCGTGGAGTTCTTCACTTGCGTTTTGGACACCTTCTCTCTGATGGAGACCACTATGAAGCAGCCCTGAGCAGGACTTAAATTAACCAATTGGCTTTTCATATTTACTTGTATGTCCAAGGCTCCTTGCCTGGATATGGGCTGTGGACTCATAGTAAGTGAACCTCTGTGAGTCACTAATCACTACTAAGGCCTGTAATGGTGGATGAAGCCAGAAAACCTTAAAACAATAAAACAAGCTCACAGCCAAGGACACTTGGATCCAACCTCAACTAGATAATGACTATGGCCTCTGGCATTTCACTCCTGGGTGGATTAACTTAACACCTTACCCGGAGAAGTCCTTGAGTAATTCCACCTCTCTTGGATATTCCCCTCCCTTCTTCTGATAACTAAATAAATATGGGCCACGCAGAGAAGGTCTTGATCTTAGCCCTGAGAGAATCTCGAATTCTGTGAGAGGGTTCTGATCCTCCTGGAGCCCTGAAATCATGCCATTTGCTTCTTTTTATTTAGCCTTTGCTATACACTCATTCAGGAGGTTGCAGACCTAATCAGTCTGTAATAACAAAGGGATAATATTAACCCAATATCTCTCCATTCTCCTTCCTCTTCTTGGTTCCTTTTCTTCCTTTGTTGTTTTCCCTTTATCTTTTACCTCTAATACTAAGGCTCAGTCCCTGGGGACCTCTCTGTCCACACCTATTCCCTACATGATCTCACCAGACCTGGTGACATTCAAAACCAGCAATATTGTGATCATTCTTCACTTCATATAGCAGCCAGCTTTCCATGCGCTGCAGACGCTTCTATCTTATTGCCTCCTTGCGTCTCCACTTGCATGTTGAGGAATGTCTCAGCCTTCACTGTTCAAACAGAACTCTTTGTTTCCTCCTAAATTTGTCCCTTCTCATTTTCCTCCCCTCAGTAAATGGCAATATCATCCTTCAGGATGCTTAGGCCAAGGGCCTATGTGCCATGTCTCCAAGGATGTGTCCTCGGCATCTGGAAAATTGCTAAGCTTTTCTCTCTGATAGTGTCCTCCCCATGCCCTTGTGTCTGGAACTCCCTTGTTCTGGTTGGATTGTCTTTGCTTACTTTTCCTTCTTGTGTCTATGTTACCTTCCTGTGACTGCTGTAACAAAGAACCATGAGCTGGGTGTCTTAAAGCAAAAGTTTGTTCTCTCACAGTGCTGGAGAGGACAGGATTCTGGAGGCCAGATATAGGAAATTGAGGTGTCTTTAGGTCGCATTCCTTCTGCAAGCTTTACAGGAGCATCTGACCCTTGCCTCTTCCAGCAGGTGGCCGCAGAATCCTTTTACTTGTGACCGCATCTCCCCAGTCCCTGTCTCTGTGGACACTGCCTCCTCTTCCAGCCTGTCAGCTCTCCCTCTGCCTGTCTCTTCTAAGGACACTTATGGTTTCATTGAGCCAGAACAACCATTTCCATCCCATACTCCTTAATCTAATACCTTCTAGTACCCTGGAATATGGAACATTTACTTTTTCCTCTTAAAGTGATATTCACAGGCTCTGGGGATTAAGTTGTGAATTATATTTTTGTGGGCTGTTTTTTGGAGTTTTTCCTGCTTTTCTTTTTGTTTTTTTTACCCTCTACAGCCTGCAAACCTTTGACCTTTCTTGTTTTGTTTTTTTTTTTGTTGTTTTTTTTTTCCAGTACAGGGAATTGAACTGACGACCTTGCACTTGCCAAGCAGGCCCTGTACCGCTGAGCTAAACACCCAGCTCCAAAACCTTTGTCCTTTTGTTATACCTTCTGGGAGATTTCTACAAACCTTAGTTCCAATCTTCTCATGGATTTTTTTCCATCTTGGCTATTATATCTTTGATAGTCATTTGAAAGTCTCTTCTATGTTTGGGAAGCTCCTTTGTAAAGTGCCCTTTCTTGTCCCAAGTATGATGAGATTTTTTATTTCTGAACATAAGAGAATGATGGTTATGTTAGAGTTGCATTCTCTCCGAATATTACTTCCTTCCAGGTTTCTTGTATCTGCCTCCTCTTTGCTTTGCTGTCTGAATTTCATGGGAGGAATCT